AATATCAGAAAAAAAACACTAAACAAAAACGAAGAACAGCGTGATAAGATCATACTATAAAATAGGTAATATCTTAAAATAAGTCTTTAAATTTTTATAATGACATTATTTGCGTACAATAAAATTCATAAAATACATAAAAGTTGTAAATTTCCACGAATAATGTTTTTGAATTAAATGAAAATAATTACCATGTAAAACTGGAAATTAAAAACAAAGTAACGTTGGAATTCACATTAATTTATCATGTGCAATTTGATTTTAAACATATATTTAAACATGAAATAAAATTTCTGTATATTATATTGTTTAGTTTAATTCGAAGCGCCGTAATTAAATGATAATTTTCTGGTAACTTAATATAAATTTAAGAAGTCAAGATAAACGACGTAAATCCAATATCGTATAAGTAATGCTCATACGTATTTTATTTTAAGGTTTTTTTTTTTTTTTTCGTAGATTTATTTTATTGAACTTTTATTGAAAACTTTCAATCAGTTTTTAAGAACATAAAGACAAACAAACAAATATTAATTTAATTTATACACACTCACATGTAAGTGTGTTTGTGTTCGAAATCATCAAGATATTTGATAAGACATTTTTAAATTTTATATATTATTGATCTATGAATACTGCAGTCACATAGTTTACCTAATCTTATACTGAAAACTGCAATTTAGTATATAATTTATAGGTTTTGAAACATAAGTGTTATCGTGACAAATTAATGATATGCACATACATAATTAAACGATGTAAAGTTTTGAATAGTGCCAGTATTATATTAGGTACATATTTATAATTTGCATAATATGTAGTTATTACTTATTACTACTTTCTAGCCTTAAGTAACAATAGTGATTAATAACAATGTTAAGTCGACAGTAAAGTAACATTATATATATATATATATACCTATATATTGTAAGCCCTGAGTTTTATTGTCTATTAATAGTTAACCAACTTATATTTATCAAGTAGATTAGGTGTCCATTTATAATAACAATAATAATATAAAATTTTTGAATTAATACTTTTCAGTGTGTTTATCATAATATTTATATAGCTATACTATCTATTCTGCAGTAAAAATGGTCTAAAACAATATTTTCAAAATAAACTGTGGAAGTTTCAATAAACTATATTGAGTATTAAATTTTGGTACTGTAATAAGTAGGGTTAGGATGTTCATGATTTTGCATATTTTTTTTTTTAGGTTGTCCAATAGCATCCATTCTTATACAGAAATATGTTTCATGATATTTATATTCAAAATATCATAATTTTATTTTGCATATAAGTGCATATTTTACCATTTTTTTTAAAAAGTGCATAATTTGTGTTTTTTTCTATTTTTAAGCGCATATTTGACGGTTTTCGATGCAAATTGCTGAAAAACACTGTAATTTTATATTTTACTGAATCTTATATAAGTTTGATTATCTGTATTTCACATATTATCATTTATCACTTATTTATTGTTGAGAATTCAATATTATGGTTTTACCTATTCGGAGTAAATAATATAAAGGTACTTACTTAAATAGAATTTTCGATAAGCTTCGTCAATTGTCACAGTCAAAACTTATCTTAAAACTGCGAGTCATTAAAATTTTATCAGATATTTTAACAGAACGTATATATATAATAAATCTAAATTAAATTATAATAATTTAAATAAATACAATTTTTTACATAGAGATTTTTTGTTCAATAGATTCAAAAACGTATTAGCACCAAACAGACGAAGATTTACAGCGGAACATTTAAAACAAACTTTAATTATTCAATGCAACTCTTTTTAATTTTTTTATATTTTATTTAATTTTTTCAGTTTTTTTCAATTTGTCTATAATAATAAATGTTTATTGCATTTTTTGTCCAAAAATTTCTTTATTTTTTAATGCATGTTTTTCAAATTGTTCATGCATATTTAGTTGATTTTTAGTGCATAAGTGCATACATATTCATACATTTTTTAGTGCATAAATATCCTAACCCTAGTAATAAGTAAGTATTAATAAATATATTAATACTAATATATACTAATATATATAATTCATATACCACATAGTATAAGCTTTTAGGAATACGAATATAGCATTTATTAATTACTAAACACTTATTGGTAACATAAGATAGTTGTAATAAATGTTACTTAAAAAAAATTAAATACAGTTCTGAACTACAAATAAAAAATTTTTGTAGGAGAGATTGTAATCATAGAAATAAGATAAAAAAAAAAAAAAATAGTCTTCTTATATATCTAAGTTGTTCTTTGAATTTGATACTACCCATTTTAAAAACCAATTATTCATAACAGCATCTATAAGTTTCAAAACTAAATTTTTTGGTTATAAACCAGAACTGTGAATTTTTAAAACAAATATTAAATACATTTTTTCTCATGATTTTTGATCATTGAAATAATACTGCCAAACAAATTGCTCTCCATCCATTCATCTATCTCTATTACGGTAGTATTACCTACGGAATACGACTGTAAAAACATGTAAGTATGTAGCGTGAATAAGAACAGTACCTACGTGAAAAATCTTACAATAAAATACAGATTTTTTAAAAATGCTATTAAAGCTTAAAAAAAAAAGTAACCTAAACTACTCCCGTGTCGACACTTTAAATAGATATTTATAACGTCCATTAAATGCTCGTTAGGATACGATTCTCAAAAATAAATATTCAACTAAGGAATTAAAAATTAAAAAACGTATACAGTCGTTTAAAAAATTAAAAATTTTATGATTTACAAGGATAGGATATTAAAATACTTTTCAGACATGTTGCAAACTTTAAAAAAAAATCAGTATTTACCTTAAATATAAAATATATACGCACCACTCAGCGTCGGGATCATTATTTAAACCTCCGTCACGGGTCACAGAAAACTTTTGTCGCGCGTGAGTTCAGCTCGCACGTCCGGAACCACTCACTAACTCTCCCCACAACCACCACCACCACAACATACCTCCATGTGCGAATAACATTGCAACGCCCAGTGCCAACGCACATTGGTTTTCTAAAATTTCTGCTTCGTATTTACTGTAGAGAAATAACTACAATGGCTGTAGAAAAAAAAAAACACACCAAACGTCTTTGCAATCACACTCGCCATTTGCGTTCCATTTATTGCATATACCTTACCTGTATCGATCGTCGATTACCGCCAATATCATTTTGTTTCATTTATTTTTCTTCGTATTTATTGTACACCGTCTTTATAACTTAAGTAATAGTACTGTTATCACATAAAAGTACCCTGTAATGCCCTAGTGTTTATAATGTAGTAAATCATTTTTTATACGTTATTTTTAAGTATTTAATCTAAGGAAAACTAATATTTTAATTATTTTTTAGAATTTTCAAGATACTCGTTTTTTAAAGTTAACAACGTATAATTAATCACTAAATATTTACTTACTCACTTGATAACTAAAAACTCTACCTGCTCTATAACTCAAAACAATTTAATTATGTTGTAATTATTATTTTTTTAAATAATTTGAATCTTAGTTTAAAAACTGGCATAAGTATATTATGTATGCGATTCTATTTGAATTATTTTGCGATATTCCAGTTTTTCAATGTACGTTAACGTTATTATACGTATATGAATCTATATTGATAATACAATTATTTTAATATTAAAAACAGTAAATATTTTTATATAAAGAACATAATATTTTTGTTGATTAATTACTTGGGTTTCATGGCTTATAAGCATAATTTTCAATTTATTTATTTATTTATTTATTTTTTGAAATTTTTATTAAACACTGTTTAATATTTTGAGTTTTTTCCAGTAGATGAAAATAGATGGAATAATAGAATTTACTGAGAATAAAACAAAGAGAAAAAATAAAAATTGTATAGAACATTACATATTTCTTTTGAAAATTATTTTAAGATCCCACCTAATTTCTATTAAAATATTTAAGTAACTTTTATTGTGAATTATGTGTATTTAAATAATTTCCTCGAAATATTGTATGAAAATAAAACTAAATAACAATGTACATACCATTATTCTGACAAATAATATGACATAATAATATTCAAAAATAATATCATTGTTTAAAATTAATGAATTTTAACTAAATTCAATAGCTATTTGAAAGTATTTAATTTAATTAAACTGTTGTTTATGTATAAACTTGGATATGAATAAACATGTATTATACGTCAACGGTTTTCTCCATAATGAATAGTTTTCACTTTTTAGTAGCCTTTTTTAGCTTATAGATTTATTCTATTATGTACACTGCATATATTTTGATATTTTCAAATAAAAATTTTACGGTATTTTTGTTTTAAGGAATCCAATTGATTAATTCTAATTGCTGTTAAAAATATTTTGGCATAAAAAAGTCTCGAGTTAGATGATAAAATGTTCTATACTTATAAATTCAGAAAATCGGTGTATTTATAAATTTTTGTCGATTATCTTTTGGGATAGCACCTAATACAGAAAGCTTATTATATTATTAGTTAAAAAAAAATTATTGCGTTTGACAATGTACCTACCTAATTTTTGCTCAGACTTAGTTTTTAATGGAATACAACTGATCCATATTATACATAGAATAATATGACAGGTATACAAAATAAGTTTAAGAACTTCTGGTGTATAATTTGAACATTACATAAATGTGATTAAAAGAGTGATGATAGCGTTATTATAAGTCGATAAGGGTAGTTATTTATATTGATATAACTATGTGTAGATAAAAATATTACGTACAGTCTGAAATTAAACTTACAAGACAAGTATATACTGCATAAAACGCGCAATGCCACCAGTCGCTGAGCTAAGAGTTTCGTTACCTTAGAAACGAACGGTTTCCGCTCCGGCGATAATCCTGACAACAATTTATAATTAATTCAATGAAACATGTACATATTATAATACAAATAAGTACATGAAACTTCTCCTAGTCTGCAATTAGTTGGACTGGTGGACGATCAAGACGACAATGGTGATGCTGCGACCCACCGTTGCTGTGATATGCATGACGGCCGTCGTAGTTACACAGTTATGGATTGGACGAGTCAATGCCTTGGCTCGGACTCCTATCAAATGGCTAATAAATACGGGAAACTTAGCAGGTCGATGGCCGCCGCCGCAGTGGACCGGAAGGAACGGCTGCAGCAATAACACTGCGACGCCAAACACTATCAGCCGGATGCAGATGATCCGCGGTGGCACAGCGGCCGTGTTGGTCATGCCCACCGGAGACGGTGGCCAAAGATGTTGCGCAGATGGCACGGTGGCACAGTTTTCCTTGGGCCTGGTGTGCCTCAAACACGGTATCAACAACCTGTATCCGATTGTGCAACCGTTTCCAGATTGGCGGACGTTCGTAGACGTGGATTCACCGGATCCGGAACCGGTGTCGGAACAAGACCGAGAAACTACAAAATCGGACGAAATCGATCAGCGCTCTACCGAAATTCTCACTGAAAAGCGTTACGGTAGTAATCACGATCGTCAGCGTATCGTGAACGCTGTGGACGCATTCCTGGACGATCGGGGACGGATTCTCTGGATTCTGGACGCGGGCCGTGCGGGTGAAGACGCGTGTCACGGCAACACGCCGACCAGTGATCGAACTGCGTCCGAGGCTGAGAAGGATGATCAGTCATTACAACCAAAGTTTGTCGCTATTGATGTATATACGAACCAGGTATATTACAACATTATAATACGAAATTTACCACGATGAATGGGTGAATTCGGATCAGGTGGTAATAGTTAATTAACAGGATAGACCATCCTGTGAGTGTTGTGTTGAAATACAATTTCAGTTTTTATCATGTTTTGGTCTAAGACACACTATGCGTCGGTTGTAGAAACTTTTTTCCAAACTAAGCAATTAATCACTGTGAAATTTCACATGCTTGATATCTGTGGAGATGGTCACTATGTGTCTGATATTGTGTTTCTTACAAAAATTCCATTTATTACAGAATCTAGTAAAAACAATATAAATTTAATTTGATTAATCTTTTGAGTTAAATTATATTTTTTTGGAATCTATTTATTTATTTTTTTTTTTTTATGACACCCTCCGTATATATAGCAATCCTTACAAAATATCCATATGTTATAAAACATTCAAATAAAAATGTAATCGATTTGTTTAAGGTATAAGTATCAGCTATTATATGGTGCATCAAATTTTAGAATTTCGTGTTTCAGATCATCAATATTGTAAGTCTGTCTCGGGTGTGGCGACCTGGTGTGAGCTGTTTCCAGTACATAGTGTCCATTTACCTGGACGCCGACGAAAACGATAACAATAATCGTACATCAAACAATGAAACAACTAGAGGAAGTGACAGAGTGAATAGTTGCACGTTAGACTGGCCGCTAGTAGTTGTCGGCGATGCAGGCACTAATCGTGTGTTGGTGTACACACACAGCAACGACAGATTCGCTGAGATCATATTACCGATGGAAGAAGAACACAATGCATTACACGATGCCGACAAGAAAACCGGTACAAACGACCCAGATGATGACGGTGACAGCCAACAAGATGTGAAAAAACCAAAACATCGTCGGCATTCCCGATGGCCGACGCCTCCGATCCGAGATATACTCTATCTAGCTCCACTATCAATCAGGCCAGGTCAACTCAGACTGTTAATCACCTACTACGGTTGCCGTGAAGTGTACAAACTCCGATTGCAACTCTCTACCTCCGATCCGCTGTCTTACGAAGACAATCCCGAAACCGGTACAACCTCAGTATCACTGTCACCGATTATTGGCACTCTAGCAGTTCTCGGTCGAAAACCGTGCCGGATGGTCATACTCGGCACGGACCGCCGGCAGACAGACGTTATCGGTGAGAATTTTGCGGGCGGGGGGACTACCGTTTACTTTCGGTTGGAAAATACTAACGACATATGGTCGTGGAAAATATTTAGCGGAAGGAAAAAGTTGACCGGATCATTTTTGTACATCGATGAACGTGACTTCCGGTTAGTCCGGCTTGGTCGGACGTGTCGCGTCCCTGTCGCGATTTCAGCTGCACCAGCGTCCGTCGAGAACGGCGTCGACGATGTGGACCGAAACTCGGAAGATTTCAAAAAGACCGACTCGCAAAAGCAAATCCGGCAAATTTTGTGGATGCTGGAGACAAACTTTGTCGATCACTTTGCTGGTACTGCAGACCGGATGGGCGCGAATGCCAAGCTACAGCCAATCGAAGTGCCACTCAACTACGACAATGCCAATCTCGCCCGCTCACTGAGTTTCAAAGCTATGATGCAAAATTTACCACTTCGAATTCAACCAACTAAAGATCTTTGTTCTCAGAAAAATTCCAATCACAGGAAACGACAACAGTCGTCGAAACGATGTAGCAACGCTTTCATATGACGCTTCGTGAGACAATTATTATTGGATGAATTGCGTATTTGCCCCATGGTGTGATGGTGGTTTTAATTTCCTTTATATCAAATATATTGAGCTAAATTCTAATTAGCAAACAACAAACGCAATGAATCTCAGTCTTCAAGCATTTCGTGTATTGATGTATACGGGCTATAAACATATGCATTATTATATTAGCTAGTTGCGGTGCAAGAACAAATTCAAGACACAATTTATTCTTGACAAACTATGCACGCGTCAGTTAAAATAATTTTTGTAAAAAATTAACAAGTTAACTCTATATTACAATATTAATATATAATATATATATTATTATAAATCTGTAAAACGCGCGTTATTTTTAATAATGTCTACACATTTGATTTCGGTTATAAAATTTAGTATTCAAAATAATAATAATAATAATAATATTAGTTATTTAATAAACGTAATCATTTTTATTGATAAAATGTTGTTATTTAAAATTGTATTTATATCTGCATGTAATATACCGTTGCACAATAATAAAAAAAAAACAACAATATATTTTTATAATATGTATTTCTGATTTGTATCTATCTAAAATGTTACACTTTAATTTAAACTCAAGACATTTCAATTATTTCATTTTAGTAAATCTTAACTTCTAAACTTAAAAAAGAGGTAAATATTTTCTAAAAACAATCCACATAAATATATATATAATGTACCTATATATATTTAATCTAAAACTGGATCCTATTTATAAAATGTCTTAATTCTACATTATTTATTTCACCGTTTTAATCATAGTTTTCTTCATCTTTCAACTTAGATCTCTTTTAAAGTTAAACATTTCGATGTTATTGCTAATCTGTCTAATATTGATCAACTATTTGAGTTTGTAATCCTCCATTGAATCCAATTGTCCGATAATTATTAAATAAAAATCTGACGAATGTCGTGGATCACGCCCTTGTCGATAAATTATTACAATGTTTTATTTTGTGTTCACTTTGTTCCTTATAGATTTTTTTCATTAAAAATTTGCACTAATTTAACCACAGTATTACATTTAGATTATCGATTAAAACATATCTCTATCACTGATACGTTATAGCAGTGATATATTAATATTTAACGGAGAAACATGACATAATTTAAATGTTAATAATATCAGACAAATCGTTTAGTTATACTGAGTACGTATATAATTAAACGTATATTGAAATAAAATATTAATATAATAAATTTTACTTAACCGATGACCCAGTGCTATAAACCAAACAATCGATAAAACGAGACTACAAGCTTTGACGCACGAATATGTAATAGACTAAAGGATTATATTATTATAATTTTTATAAATGTTGTTAATAGTTATTAAAATATAGTTAAACCTTTATGGTGGGGTTCTGTGATAATATAAAATAAATCTAAGATAACACATGTATCTGGCTATTTTAGATATATGCATAAAGTAAACCCTCCCTTAACGGTCACCTATAGCGAATACCTCAAAAAAAAAAAAAAAAAAACGTGAACATTTTTATTATTTATCTGTTGATAATACTTTAAATAATGACACTTTTATTGCTAGATTTTGATAATTTTTGTCGTTATTATTATTTAAGTATACCTACTTTATTAAAATGTACATTTTTCATTTGTACACATTATTAAACTATTATAATTATCTTATCCATCGCAGCAAATGGCCATCTCATTCAAAACGTATTGTGTTTTAAATGACAATACATAAAAATAACAAAAATATACATATTATATATTATGTGTATAATTCTTTATATATATATATATTTATTTTTTTTCTAAATATTATATACCTCCAAATAGCGGTCAACAGACAACATTTCGGATAATGATTGTTTGGTACTTAATAGTTTTACTGTATAATATGTATACTATAATTGTATAATATAAACACCATTACAATAATTTATTTGAGTGAATGACTATAATCTTCATGGTGATATATTATTTAATTCTAACTTTAGTGAACATTTTCTTTTTTATGTAATCTCTATTTTATCTAAACAGAAACAATGCATTAAACTTAATGGTAAAAACCACTCTCAAAATTAAAGGTATTATATTATGTTTGAGCAAAATATCTTCTCAAATAACTACATGATGATAGACACAAAAAGTATACTGTAAAAACAAAGTTGCTACTATACCTATCACAAAAATGGTTCCCTCGTATAATATGTAAAATAATTTTGATAATTACTGACCAAAAAATAAATAAATATTTTGTAGAGTATAGTTTATATATCAAATAAATATAATATTTAAATTGCTTTTTTCATCTATTATTCAAATTGTAATACGTTAATAATAACAACTAAACACCAATACTGCAGTAATAATATCAATAATATTATTGTCAAACATGACGTATATTTTAATGATGTAATGTATATTATACAAGTTCTTTTTGTTGATTAGATTATTCTCATACATAAATATTAACATAAATTCAAATAAACTAACAAAAAATAAGAATTATTTTAATTTTTATACAAAAGTTAAAAGATAATTTAATATGTTGGTGGTATTTTAAATACTGTTTTTCCATTTCTTTCATCCACACATGGCACACGGAGTATATTGAAGTATATAGATCCCATGAGATCTCCGGTAGGATGATTGGCCTTTTTCAGACAGTTGTAAAATGTTTTATCACAAATACAATGTGATCTGTAAAAAAAAAAAAAGTAATTTCATGTAATATATTTTTTATGAAAAAAAAAAAAAAAAATGATAATAATGTATCATTATTTTTAATTGATAATTTTATTATTATAAATTATAATCTATGTAGGTTATATTGATAAATGTGTAATAATATCATTGTTAATAATATATTGACACAGTACTAAAATGTTATACTATTTTAAATTTTATTTAAAATTATAGTTTTGCCAGATATTTAAATAGTTGTTCAAACATTTAAAAAAATCATAAGCAGTGCCGGATCTAACATTTTTTTAACCCGGGACAAAATATGAAATTGGCGTCCTTCTATATCAATAACCTTTTTTTTTTTACTTATTACATAATTAGAAATTTGCGCCCCTTTATGACTAGTATCCGGGGAACGTGTCCCGGATTGCCCCCCCCTAGATTCGGTGCTGATCATAAGATCAACTTTATAATAAGACCAATACTTGAAAGATATCTACTATTAACTAAATAAAATTTAAAAAAAGAATAATAATAACGAGTTTTAAATATATTTATATAGTCCTAATTATTTAAAATGAATTATAAGTGTCACTATCATTGATAACTATTTTATAGTGACCAAATTTTAAGAAAAATCGATTGAATATATGAAGTTCCAACTAATGGTGTGAAGCGTATAGTAGGTTAGAAGCAAAATTTCATAAAAAAAAAAAAAATAAAACTTTTAGTTATTGCTGTTCATTATAGCTATAATTTGTTGTACATTCAATTTGTAAAACTTTCAACTAAAGGATATTAAATCAATATATTTTGTTGTCAAAGCGATTCTGATAAAAAAAAAATATATATTAAATGGTATGCATGGTCAAAGTGTTTCTCTTTTCATAATGAAAATTTGATTTTTTAATTAGAACTGTAGGTGTAACTTGAGTGGTTCTTACTAGCGCTAAATATATTTAAATAAATAGTTAATGGACTTATAGGCTTCCTTTTAAAAATAACCTATTATATAAAATAACCTTTTTATTGATCCAAAAAAGAAACGTTAAATAAAATATTTATAAAGTTATCAATTATTATCATATTACATATTTTAGAGTGAAAATTCGGGTTTTATAATAAAACAATTGCAGTATCCAAGATTCTTTAACACTAAAAACAGGTTTTTTTTTTAACATTTTTTTGACTTCATAACAAACAAGTAGTATCTATTGATGTTTGATAAACCTAGTTTATGATTAATTGTACATTATGAAAACTTAGATGTGTTTTTATTTAAAGTCGTCAGTTTAAATTACCTATATAGAACTCTTAATAAATCGTTATTTTTACTTAATCTACTTGGTTCCGCAGATTTTAATTATTTTCATTATACTTGGATTGTATAACATGTTTCTACGAAAAAGAATTAAGGTATATTTTGAAATGTATTTTAATATTTATGGCTTAATAATAAAATATGTATATTTACTATCTGAAACTTAATTAATTAACGTTCTTTTTAATATAGTCTTAAACAAGCGTAACTACATTACATAATAATAATAATAATAAAAACATTCAATTTCTACAATCCAATTTTAAAAATGAGAAAAAAATATCCCTTTTGTAATTTCAACACAGTTAATAATATAACATTCTCTATTTAAATCCTAACTTTAGTACTTACTTTGTGTACATGGAATTATTGGTGATGTTATATCTGGTAGCATACGATCTGACTTTTGATGGGCACAGATCGTGCGTTCTACAACACATATCTAATTTGACCTCTGGTCCCAAATCAAAAAATGTTGTAGCTAGATCTCCACTACCACACCATTTTGTACCTATAATCAAAATATACATAAATCAAACTTTGTGAAAAATGTTTATATTATACATTTAAATTTAACTGATTAACAGTTAACTATTATATTGAAAAATAGGGTTTAAAAAAATTTATTCATATTAATGGCTATTTCCCTGTACCCGTATAATAGTTTTTAGAACATACATTAAAATCCTGTGGGGACGCAAAATATTTTTCACCTCAAATGATTGGCAAATGTAATGAATTGTGATTTCAATTTGAACTCGTACAATATTAATTTGGGTTAATTAACAATCGGCCGTCTGATGGCTAAGTAAAATGGTTTTGAAAGTAATATGCAACAGGTACCCAGAATAAATTTCACGTGCGACGCTTTAGTGGATTTCTTATGTGTAAAAATATTAGTGAAATTATTTATATTATATACAAGTCATTATATTATATTTATATACATTAAATCTGAAACGCTTTGTTACAACTCTATCGATATACTTAAGAAAACAGCATGATTGCGCGTAAATCGTAAATAATTGTTACGTTAGAGATGTTCGATAATCGTTGGAATAATAATAATAATAATAATAATAATAATAATAATAGAAATAATAATAATAATAATAATAATAATAGTCAGGTAATTGCTTAAATAATAGTTTATTGTAAGAAGTCTTTATCGATTTATGTCACGTAACATACACGTTATAGTGATTGTATAGTTAAAATTAAATTATTGTATCGTTATAAACTTAATTGTTCTAGATCTCGTAATCTATAATCATAGTATAATAACAAGTACGGGAAAACCAATGTGTACACACACGGGTAAATAATATAATTGTATAATTACTAGCGATGAATGATGTACGAATAGTGTAATACGTAATTTTCTGGGGGAATAAACCCGTTTAAACTCTTTAGCGATTACTACCTACGTGTAATAACAATAATTAGTACCTTGGAGAATTGTACATAATAAATGCTCAAAAACAATAATTACATTTTAATCATTATTATTTTAGAGGAAAAAAAAATTATTTATTTTTATATTTTAAAATTTGTGTTAAATGCAAATTTCACTTTCATCCACAGGACGTGTTGTCTAGAATCAGGATAATAAAAGAAAATATCTGAATAAAATGCAGACATTTTTTTAGAAAAGTATAATAATATGTTTAGATGTACAGATACATCGATACATTTCAAAATGTTCCTTCAAGTAATACAGAATATAGAAAACCATTTAGAATTATAACCAAGGAAACAATAAATATACTCAGTAATGTCCCCATCAAATTTCCTGAGGGAATACTCAGCACAATTTTAACAATTTCAGTTGAAAACTTTAAGATGCTAAAAAAAAGTTTAAGCTTTTCCATGTATCATATGACATAATATCCAAAACAATAATAGTTTCATTGTAAAAATAGATTTGATCTATTCAGAATAATAACGTAATCACTGTAATATTGGAAATGCATTTTTATATTTATTATCGTATTGGTAGTTAATTATAATATTATATTATATTGTTATCCTTGAGTCTGTTCAACAACAAACAACAAACGGCATCATAGACTATATTACCATAGTGCACAGTTTTCGCCTGCAGAAAATAATTTCCATACTCCAAATATATTTTACTATATTTTATTCGGGTTTCAATAAGAAATACATAAATCGCTCACTAAAAAAATAATAATTATGACTTTTTCATAAGTGTATTGAGACATGTAATAATTATTATACGTAGTATACCCATCATTTTATAAACAAATCTCGAGAATATACTGCATAAGTATAATAATATGGTGTATAGTGTATACTTTATAACTAACGTGACCGTATTTTTTTTTACTTAAAGTAGAATACCTGTACATTTTAATAGAAAACCATAATAACTGTTGACTTATATTAGGTATTTATTTTTGTATCATTTCTTTCTATGGATTATGATTTATGGAGGTTTACCAGTATAAAATGTGTGTTATGTATATCAGTGTACAGTATACGTATGCGTATATCCTATACCTACCAACATAATGTTTTGGTTGTGATAAATAAATATTTCATGCTCTTCTTTATAGAATAAAATACCATAGATCACCTTTTCTTCAAAGCGGAACATTTTTGGGTCCTTTGGGAACAGCAGGGCTCAAAGCTCGAAAGCGGGACTGCCCCGCCCAAAGCATCATGTTACCTATGTATACCTTAAGGGAGCACCACTGAATATAAGTTGTGAACTTAGTTTTGATAATAATTAATTTTAAATTGGCCAATCATTCACAAAGGCTTGTAATCATAATTTTATTCGTACATACCAACATTAAAACAAAACTCATTTTAATTTTATATTATTTACTTTACATAGTTGATTGTGTTATACACATTTATTTATATTTATAAATTTAATTTATAATTAATGTTCTACAATAATTTGTCAATCGTATTATTTATTATAAATTTATAAAATAAATGGCAAAAACTTGGTTTCCTAATTATAACTGTAGCGTTTTCAGTTCTTTATCGTGCAAAACAATTGTTATGCAAATTACCAATATTGCAAACGTTTAAATAATTGTATTAAATATTTTTGGCTATAATGTATATGTGCTGCGACCAACGGTTGTTGCGAAAACGAACATTATTTCCCCCAGTCCGACATGCTCGCCGCTATTAAACCTAATACAACCTTACTGAATATATTTTTATACAATATTCGATTTATAAATTTAAAACAAATAGTGTTTAAGGAGTTTAATATAGGCAATCTCATAAACAAACACCTTCAATAGGTTCTGTGTTTTATGTGCGTAGTAATATCGATAATTACTGTGTGTTACTATATTGTTTAAAAAAAAAAAAAAGAGTGAATTAGTTCCCACGCACACGTGCTAAGACAACAATTTGGTATCGAGTACGTGGACTTTCATTTGTAAATGTGTACTTATTGATAATCGTACCTATGTAACTTTTGTCAGACCTAAAAATGCGATAAGACTTTTGAAAACCTATACAAATATATCTATTTGAGATCGACCAGGCCTCATTCTAATTTTAATTTTTGAATAATTTAAAGTGTTCAAACTAAATTTATTATAGTTGGGAATCGAATTCGGAAAATTGACCTAATATCGATCTCAAATAGACATGATATTAAAAGCAATTCAATAGTAGCTATAATCTCATTACTAAGACCTCACCGACATATAATAATTGATAAAATATTAGAACATTTTGTTCAAAATAACTGATCGTTCGCATTTCCCTTAGGTTTAAGCAGGATATTTATATTTTTACTATTAATACTGACGACTAGTATTACAAGTATCTTACAAGACTAATAATGTTAAGTAAATCACATTTTTAAACTTAAAATGAAATACATTTTAAAAACGATTTTTCTTAATAGTTAGCTCTATCTAGTGGTCAATGCCGTCGTAGAAGAATTCAGCAATAAATTCGAGGATTCGATCGTGAAATAAAAACAACGAACCTGGTAGTATTCCCGAGTACAACGAACTGGAGGTAGTCGTCGGAACACCGTTTGAGTTCATTTCGTCACCACCGTTGACACCACGTGCGTGCAACTTCAACTGTTCGGGGTTCACTTGGTGTGGATCCAACAGATCGCATTGGCTAATCAGTTTCATCATTTGATCAAGAGTGATTCGCAGTGGCTTGTTGATTCTCGTCAGATTTTTCAACATTTCTTTACCTTCCTCGTCGTTGCTAAAAACATTTATTGTTTGCGTTATTAAAGATTATTATGTAATCATATGATAATATTACGAGTTCAAATGACAGAAAAAATACAAGATTCCCAGTAAACGCGTTTTAACAGTATGTCATTTTTTCCATGGATACTCGACGATAGACGATAATAATAAAATATAATATCATGTTTTATTAGTATAATATACTAAACTTAAGAAAGCATCACGCACACCAGCTTTTTAAGGAGTTAATATAGGCAAATTTAATACGTTTTTGACAATATTTTATCATTAAAAATCTTAAACATGCCTAATTAAATTATTAAATACTAATTCAAAGTGACTTACAAGTGGTCCAATACCAGTATTATTGTAGTGGCGTAATTACGAAATTATAGAAAGTGGTTTCGCGTGAAAAAGAACCACTCGGTCAGTGGTCTACAACAATCATAGAAACCAAATTAATTATTACGTATTGTTTTATGATAATATCATGAATAAAAAATAGTTTTCATAGTTTAATAGTTAAAAGTGATTTAGTTGTATGCATTTGTAAGCTTGATTTCAAAAAAAAAAAAAAAAAAATCAATAATATTTGGAAATGTGCTTACTTCTCTTAATGCAATCCCAATGAATTTCTGTGCACATAAATTTATAATTCGTCCATAGGTATACTGTACACGCATTGTAGATAATTATACATGCCTCTAACAACCTATTTTCCCAAAGTGATTAGATATCTGCGTCTACACAACCTTGATGCGCGTTCATGGCCTATTGTCATTCCGATTGTGTTTGTGTATAATACATATGTAGGTACTAGGAAGGTACTAATAAATAAATAAATTATTTTTTGCTTTTTTATTTTATGATTAATAATCTAACTCTAACAAACTGTTCATTATAGTTTCGGCACACGAATAATAGTAAATTTTTATTTTTTCTTCTCAAGAAATTTATCAAAGGATATGTTCATCACATCGCAAGGACGATAATATTACCTAAATAATATAATGCATATTATAGTACGCTGTAATTATTATTTTATTTTGGTAAGGCGTAGGAGGTCATTTTCAAATGATTTAAAAAATACTTACATAACTATAAATAATTTAAATAGCATGTTTTTTTTAATTGATTAATATTTTAAATATATACAATTGTTTTTATTAAAAATACTTATAGTTTCAGTATCTATCAATAATACTAATTAAAAATGATTATCATAATTCATTAGTTATTATTATTTTTATTTTTACACTAGTTACTAATGCAAAAATCTAATATTATCATAAACATATTTATACATGTATTTGTAAAAATACTAAACACATAAAACTATTTATATGCAATTAGTAGCATTAACTTTTAAAATACTGTTATAGAATGATTATGAATCAGATTTTATTGTATTGACTGTTCTTTTAAATAATTACACTAACATTTTTAAAGAAAATCTATTGGTATTAAAATTGCATCTGGTCATTATTATAAATTATATTAAATTGTACCCGTAACAAAACACAACTAAAAAAATGTATTATGTTTATAAGTATACTATATTTGAATAGAATTGTACCTGTTTTATAAATCTTAATTGAACCACTTAAATAGATTTCTATGATGCCTGCTTATATAAAAATAAGTAGATTTTCCGAATCAAAATTTCCTTTGGTATATTACGATGATTATGTTTAATTGCATAATTAGTCCTGCAAAAACTTCAAAATTACGAAATTAATTTTACAGTGAAACGTTGAAACTAAAATTAAATAATAACAATTATTTTTGAAGTCTCTATTTCAATTTATATATTGAATTATTCATGTTTATGGTGACCATCTAAATATTCCTAGTCTTAGATTAATAGCCGATTTAGTTTATTACTGATTGTCTTATTTTTGAACTTGATTGTGGTAAATTCTCGATCTTTCACTCACATGCACCATGGCGTCACGCACGATGTATATGTATAGTATAGTTAACAATACAGATAACATAGTTGGAAATTATAAATAAAATGTAATATTATAATTTAATATCTGGTATCGTTTTGCTAATTTATTTTGTAGGACATAAGAGCTAATTTAATATTGTATACATGTTTTACCCAACATATGACATAAACGCCAAAGATGCAAAAATGATATATCATTTGTGCCAAAATTAATATTTTAAATATTAAGTATAGTTATTAATAATTGCCCTCTTATAAAAAATTATATCATATAATATATTATATTAAGACAATTGTTAATAATAAATTGTTAAAATATATTATACATAAAAATAAATATAAATTTAATAAATCGATTGCAATTTTATAAAAAAAGGCAATAATAAATTATAAATTTTAAAAAAATGTCTTGATTTTTTAATCCCACTTTTTTACATATTCGATACGATTTATTTTACTAACCTGGTATTTCTTCCATTGTAAAATGATTTCACCGTGAGATATCCTCAATTTATTGTTAGGAGGAGAGTTTATATATAAATATGTTTCGCTTTGTAACTTTAATAATACATCAATTACTATGTGTACGGAACAATGAGCTTTTAAATGTCGATTCAGCTGCATTTGTAGTTCTTATAACGTCATTATCAAGAATTTCGGTCCAAATATAAGATAAAAATAAACTAGAATCTATTTATGTTTTTAAAAGGTAATCACTAAATTTGGAAACTGTTTACTCTTCAGGTGCGATGAACATTAAATTTGCAAAAGCATACGATGCACGGAAGAAAAGCCAAACCAAAAACAAACTTCAACCAAATCCCTATTTCAGAGTTCTTCACGTATTCATTTCGAGATCCCAAGCTTTGAATTTTTCGAAACCACAATTGACCTAAATTAAATTTACATGTTATTTTTAAATTTGGAAAAACTGCTAAAAATCCACCATGTGCTGCTTTTTCAAAATTAACTAAAAATGTTTTTTGAGAAAATTCTAAATTATATTTTTCACACAATTTTTGTAGATATTTCCATATTGATTCGTAGCAATTTAAAGTTTTACTTGGTAGTAGACAGTAAATTAAATATCTGTTATTTAATATCTATTAACCGTAACACACAGGTACCTAGGATTTTGGCGCTTATGTCTTTCATCGACTCACATGCACCGCATGCTATATTAAATTATAATACATAATAATAAATATTATGAACGATAACCGGTTATTGCGGTTCGTGCCTATTTCATTTTAGACTTTTACAAGTAGATCCGATTTTTATTTTACAAGTCATGGCGGTATTTATATTATTATTATGCTATTTGCGTAACGTCGTAGTAATACTATCAACTCGTTAAACTTTGAAGTCGGACGACCGTGAGACGATTGCTTATGTCAGTATAGTATAATGACGAAAATGTGAATATTTGATTGAATGCATTTAGGTGGGGATGGGGGCTTCATAGTTTTATCCATTTTCGAGCAAACGTCAATTTTCTTTCTAAATGTTACTCCCTTAAATGTATATGGGCATATAAATGTAAATAAATAAATAATACAATATTATAGTATGTTTAATTTAACGTAATAAATGTATTAATAATAGAAGTGTTTTAAATGGATTAAACCTTGAGTATTTTAATATTTCTCCTGAATACCCACCTATGGATGTAACTAAAACATGTTATTATTAAGTAATAATAAATATTAATAATATAAAATCTATGTGAAATGCAACGTGGACGATGTATCTAGAGAAAGGTAGTTGTATTGGAATATTATTCGTCTGCTATATTATATTCCTTTATTAATTACGATCTAAACTCGACATATTTTATTACGTTAATTGACGATTGGTCAAATATGTATTATTTGATTTACGTGTATATGAACAATTTTAACAAACACAATATTTTTGTGCAGGTACTTAATAATACAATATAGTTTAATCGGTAATTTTATATTCGGAAGGTAGTGGAAGTCATTTTATCACCAAACCGTAAAACAATACAAAATCAATAATCATAATTGAAATAATATTATACTATTGTGAATGAAACATATTTTAAACGAGATATCTGTCACGAGGTTAAAAACGTCCAAATCAACAAAATTAATTCGCAAATATTTTCTGATATTCAGGTATTTCGTGCGTCGTATATAAATTATTTTTTAAAAAAAAAACAATAAATTATTTTTTAATTATTATTGAAACGCTATAATAAAGGTATGAACTTACAACTTCCTAATTGTGTGCATTTATATAAAAATCGGTTGATCTGGATGAGTAGCTGACGTAGCACGCAAACGTTAATTTTTTGAGTATAATGCTATAATAGCCATCAGTGATTAACGTTATTCGTTAAGCTCGCTCGTTTAGGTACTTACGCGGCTACGCTTAATTTCATTGTGTACAATAATATTATTTATTGCCATCCGACCATTGCCACTTCCTGATGACACGGACAATAATAATAATAATAATATGTGTAACAATGAGCATATTTTAATTTTGCGAACGTGTGTAGAGGTCAACACAATTATTGTCCGTACAGTAACGTGCCGAGAACGTATAACAAAACCGAAAACGTACGTTATTATATTAATATGTTGTGCGTATAGCGAGTTGAACACAACAAAACCTATGTGGGTACAATATTTTAATATTATGCATAATAATAATAATATAATACAGCAAATCGGGTCTCGCCGGAAGACCCTCGTTGCCTGTTCTGTTGCAGACTATCAAGAAAATAATAATTAAAATATAAATCAACATGGTCAGCGATAGACCGGGATTGTTCAGAAACGTCCATGTGGAGAGAAGCACTTCATAACTCCTCGATGGAACTCGTACATTAATAGCTTGACCATTTATGTTAGTATATTTTTTTAATCTGTAGGCAATTATTATAGATTATAATCTTTACGGACATTAAATTATAATGATAAGTACATAATATTTTATCATAATATTTTATAACACCATTTTACTTTTGATTCTAACTCGTTGACGTTAAAGTTGAAACTATTGTCGAGATTTTGGCTTAAATTTCGTAAAATAGTGATAATAGAGATTGTGTCTATATTATACTATATTGTTATGTATAATAATAGAGATTGCATTTAAAAAGGGACGAAAACTTTTACGTAACCACAACTTCTCCACCATTTAACATTGTTTTAAAGTACCTATCCACGGAAATAATATTCAAAAGAATGAATATCCATGGAAAATATCTAAATGTATGAATATTCAATAGGAAGAACACTCGGCAACATAATCGTGTTTAAAAGCATATTAATATATGTACATAAAAAAAAAAAATAAAAATATATATACTAAATTATTTCCTAGTATTATAATATTTATATATTTATACACCTAGTGTAATTTTAAAGCTGTATAAAAAATATATACACAATAAATACTCGTTTATATAATAATTTCTGTTGTATAATTACATAAAAAATGTATATGTTTACGATAGTATTATCATGATTCAAAATATCTTATTGAAAGAATACTCACAATTAAAAAAAAACTTTAAAATTTAAATACATCTTGATACATATATACATATCATATATATATATATGATATGAATTAAAAAAATAATTATATTTATAGAAACTCATATAAAAAATAGGCATGTTAATAATTATAAATATTATAATATATTTAAAAAAAATGTATATAGGTAGTCCTACTTGACGAATTCTAAACATTTAAAAAAATTAAATAAACTTATATATTAGCTTAACTTATTTACTGAGCTAATAAGTACATAATACCCTTTCCCAAATTTATTGTTAGTATTTATGTGGTATTTTTCTTTTGGGTATTATTTTCACGGGTTTTTTCACCATTGGTATTATATCCGCAAGGTGTTATTTCTGCGAGCATATTTTTTCTATCAGGTATATTTTTCGTAAATATTTTCTCCCCAAGAACTTTTACCAGTTATTAAATGTTTATTATTTTATCACCGCTGAAGTCATAGTTACTATAGTCGAATATAAGAATGTATAGTAAGATTTCATTTAAAAATGTTGTTGATGATGAATCATTGAAAGTTCTTTATGTTTACTAATACATTTTGCTTTCTAAAATTTAATACATACTTAAATAATACCATAATTACGTCATACTTAAAAATAATTACAATATTCGTTGAATCGAAACATTATTTTTTTATTTGGGGGGAGAGCTCATGAATTGTCTGAAAGGGCTAAGCATCCGTAAGTCACCTACTAATCACTATATGTGGTTTGAATCTGTGACACTGCTATGAATGCTCCTTGAAGCGTTTCACGCGCAGCTTCATCAGCAGTATTGGAAGTGAATGTAATAGTTATTTACAAATTTTTAAATTATAATTATTTTTACAAATGGCGTCGAGTGACATAGTTATACTAAATAATAGCATCGTTTTTCTTATAACATAATATAATATAATGTAATATTTCTCCGACCGGCCATTTGTTTTCTATACCGCGGATATTCGGTTTCTTGGCGCCTATCGTTAATTATACATATTTTCCAAGGCATAAAAATCGATTAGAAACGCATGAAAACAGTGTAAACCAGAAGTTTTAGGTGACAACAAAAAGACTGTGTACTGTAAATTTGTATTGTTCATCAGTGCATATAGATCTCCTTATCGTTTCTGTTTGATATTCGTCGTTTTTTTCGAAATATATTAATATACGTGATACATACACTATTTCAACCAATATAGTGATAATTTTAAGAGTAAATATTAATTATCTCATGAAGTAATTATTATTTTTTTTTTTTTATTGAAATTTAGTTTTGGTTAATTAGATATAACTTCTTTCATTTAAAAAAAAAAATACCAACTTTTTTACCACTTTCTTCATATTTTTCATCTTTTAAGTTTTTGCATTTTTAAAGATAGCTTATATATTTTAAATTTTATATTCCGAAAAAGAATACTTAAAAAAAAAATGTTAATTTAATAAAAGTCAAATTTTCAACGAGTAGCTAATTACTTAAAGTTTTAATATATGGTATATCGTTGATTTGCACAGTTGCACCAAGTGATATTATTTTTTCCACTACTCAGCTTATCTCATCATAAAATATCTATAACTAGTAACTAATCATTTAAAATTTGATTTTTTTAATTGATATATAAATATATTTATTGAAATTTGTAGAAAAATATTCTGCTTAAGAATATAATACTAACAATGCAAAAATGTCAATAAAAAATTTTAATAATAATAAAATTATAAAAATAATATTGTTCATATATTATTAACTTAAAGTAATGTAAAAATAACATATCCAATATTTAATTTTAATACTGTTAGTTCTGGAAAATAATAGATATTTTAAACACGCTTGATTATTTTCACTAGTATGTAAAAATTATTAGGTAATGATAAATAATTCATTATGATACTATTTATATTGTGTTAAAAAAAAAAAAAAAATACAAATAAGTTAATATTTTTTTTTTTTGCTTACTACACTTATTTTGTACACTTATGTAAACAAATATTTTAATCAAAGTTAATAATTAAGAAGAAAAAGATTTTTAGTAATTTAATATTAGTCTTTTTATTTTATGTACATGACTTTAAACTATTCAAATATTTAAACAATGGGTTTTGAAGTTAAAAATAATAATATTCTGATGTAATCTTACAAATGTATTATAATTTATAATCAAAGTAAATCAGGAAATTATTAGCTGAATCATATATTTACCGAAAACAGTAATAATAAGTACTATCTAAATATCATTGTTGCAAAATTTACTAAACTCCACACTAATAATATAATATACTTAACGCCTATTAAATAATCGATACATCATCGTACTATATGTGGTTATTATACGTAGAAGATAGCCAGTAAACTAAGTTCTAATTATTATTTCCTCCATCCCCGAAAACTTTGAAAATATTTTTCAAATAGTTAAATTATATCAAAACAGTCTATTAAAAAATGTTTAAAAATTATTACCGTAAACTTATAGACTCTATTATATAAAGATTATTTATGTATGTTATAAGACTTAATAGACACATAACTATTTTTTTTTTATTTACGAAACACGTATGTCATCGGCAGCTGTCAATTGGATTCGTAAAAATAGATTATCGATTGTAGTGATAGTGATAGTGTTTTGCCAATCATTATTTTCTTCATAAGACTAGTATTGAAAATCGTTCAATCAGCAGCCTATCCCTCTTCCAGTAAAAAAGAAAATTTATACTATACTGTTTGGCCCCCGAGATCGGTAAAAAATATGTTTTATTGTAATTTATATTTATCACATTTATTTACTCACTAGATTTCGACGAGCTCACAGTTGAGGAGAGCTTTACCTTCGCCAATTTCAACAATGGCTATGGTCTGGTCATGGTGATAAATCATACGTAGAGACGTTGGATTCAACTTATATCCCGTGTACATTTTGGTCGGGCTGTTCACAGCGGAGGCCATGCAGACGATGCCGACCAACAGGGTGCAAATCACCCACGAGTACAACGAAGACATTTCAGCAAGTTATTTATTTTTTGATTTCTGCACTTATAGCACTTGGGTTACATGACAGTTGGTTGTCGAGTGGTGAAGAATGTGAACGTGATATATATTTTTTTTTTATTGCTGTTACGGCTGAAAATAAATAATATGAACACATCTTAATAAAAATAGTACAAAGTCGTATAATGACACATGAAATATAGAAGTATCACAAATATATAATTACATTTTTATATTTAATTTCCGTGTAAAATTGTCAAATATTCTATTCTGATTATTAATAAATATATACAGAATTATTAACCGAGCAAGGTCATTTTTTATTTATTTCTTAAATAATAAATATTTTCAATTTTTATTTTTAAATTTATAAGTTTAATTTTTAAGGACTATATTCAAAATAAATAGATATTTAAATTTTTAATTTTTTATGCTGGAGTGCTGCATTATTCTTCGCAATACTATTTATTCAAACTTCTTATTTTTTTTTTTTTTTTTAGTTAAAATGATGTCAATTTATTTGCCGTATTATATATATTTATCTGTACGTAACGCTTGATAGATTTTATATAGTAGTAGCTATATTCAAAGTACCAAATTATTATTATTAATATTTATTTAACATATTCGATAAAAAAACAGTACGATAATATAGTATTATAAACTAAATTCACGTATACACGGTTATCACGGTTTTTCGTTTCGTCTGTGATATACGCATAGGTATAAAATATAGAGATGGTAATATAAACTTTATAATTTTCATTTCACGAGAGAGATCAGTTAAAAATGATTTAGATGAAATCTTTTACCCGTTAGACCTACTGCAGATCGTTTTCGTTTAAATTATTATATTAAACACTCGACGACGATAACGACGATATTTTCTAGTCGGTTAAAATTTAACACGCTCTATCTACACTATAACTATACGAGATAGCGAATAAATTGGATAAGCAGACGAGCGTAAAATACAAATTTTATATTATAAATAATAATATCATTACGGTATAATATTATCAATGTATTGCAATAATAGCACATATTTTATCATTTTAGTGTGATAAAATGTGTACAATTAGCTTATCGAATTATTACCTATAGTGTATAATGTATATAGTCAGAAACTGTTTGTTTGGATTTAAATTTTGGTTCTAGAAGTGTGAAAAATTTAAAAATAACAATTGTTTATTACTATTAATATAATATATAATAAAAATCGACAGTTTTCATTTGAAAAAAAAAACAAATATAAGTTTATGTTGTATTTGTACAATCTCTAGTACATATAGCATACATAACTTGAATATTTTAAAATATTGTCTTCGAGTATATTTAAAGATTTTAAACTAAAAATTCGAATAAATATTTAATGGACTGTAGATAAGAACGCTTAGAGAATCACTAATTATGTCTGTCTTATAATATTATGCATTAATATATTAGGTATTCGATTCCGTTACTACTAATACTACTTATATACTACTACAACAACTATTATTTTTACTTGACTACTTCCACTACTTCATAATGTATTATACTTTTAAGTTATATGGTAATGTATCGGTTGATTTTTGACCTTGGACGTAACCCATATTATGGTGAGAGACGTATTATACTCCGGCGGCGACGGCATATAACGGTACCCAAAAAGAAATAATAAAATTATTCAACGTTAACAATCACATTGACGTATGGTGTTAAGATGATATCACTATAAGCGTTCTACTCTCTATAACGTTCTTACAAAATGAGGCGGTGAGAGTACAGCGTTTTTAAAACCGATAGATAAAATAATGATGAAATTATATAATTTATAAACAAATAAACACGACGCAGACATGTTGAGGTCGGTGGAATATAAAAAATTTTAAATAGACGATTTTAACCTAACCCCTAATTTCAGTGGTTTTTTAAAAACGATATAACGCGAACGATACTACATAATATATATATATATCGGTTATTATAATATCGCTATTTATGTTAACATCTACGAACAAATATTTTGCAATATTATTCGTAGGCGCGTTTTAATATAATATAATGTGATTATGCGTAACGTGACTGTTTTAATCCGCGATTTTTTGACTACCGTCTGGAAAACCATGAATAATTTATTGTCCGAAATATGAACAAAACATAATGTGAACATTTCAATTGTTACACTGTTACACATTATTATGACGCGCGTTGTACACATGCACTGACAACTTTCGAAACGTACGAAACGAAACCGGTACGGATTTTAAAAGCGCCGACGGTGATTATGATGTATAGAACCTATACGCTTAGCGCTCGAAATTATTTAAAATATAGTGTTTAATAATATACTCAATTGAGTAGTTAAATTGGCATCGTATTGAAAGTGTGTCTATCTACCTACCAAGAGGGCATTGGCGTAGTTATGTATATATTATACTAATGTTATTGTTTAACTCACTTATGAATTATATGAAAACAAAAAAAAAAAAGTTTAGCAGTCTGAGTGTTTCGGGGGTTTTCACTTTGAGACAATTATTTTATTTACAATAAATTAATATTATATATGTTGATAATATTATTATTGTATTTATTACCCACTTTCGTGCTATTATTATTTTTATAATGCAAATGCACGTACATTATCGTATTATTACAGAAATAGCGATCATTTTGTGTTGTTATATTTTGATTACATTTAAAATAACTTCATATTATAATATCAATGCTGATTAAATAGATACAAATTGAAAAAAAAAAATCGTTTAACCTCAATAAAAATTTGAAAAACGTATGATATCTGATTAAAAAAATAATCATAAAATATATGCACATAATAAGAAATAGGTAGCTCATATTATAATGTAACATCTAGACTAAGGAAATGTTTATCTTCAATTTAGTTGTATTAAGTAAATACTCATACATTCGTTTTAAATTTTTAAAACGCAGTATACCTACATCCACGTAAATAACATGCATTTAAATAAAAAAAAACAAAATAACAACTGTGTCATAAATTCGTGAATAATTGCGTTTCATGGACGATTTTTATCAAAACCGATTATTTCATGAAGCAAAAATAATAAGATCTTGATTCGACATATTAATGTATGTATGAAAAACAAAACGCATTGTGAAAATTTTAATGTAAACAATCTGGTTTTTTTCACACAGTTTTTTTTTTTTTTTAAATTAAAAAATACTTTCTACTAACAGTATTATATTGTGTGAACATGTATTTCAAAATATAGAATTCTGAAGTGTACGTTATAATAATATGCTATTATAATAGATTAAAATAATGAATCAATGTAGTAAAAATATAATAAAAGAATGCAAAACAAAAAATAATACGATGTTAGAGATATTTAGAAAATTTGATAAGTTTTTTTTTTTTTTGAATGGACCAAATTAAGTATTGACTTTAAAATGTGTAATTTGTTATTATTATTGATTTTCGGGAATAACTGTGAGTCTCAGTCTAAATAAAAAACTTCCTCGAAGTAAAAATAAAAAAAATTAATGAAATTCGAGTGCAAACTTTATAGTTCATCATATTATGTTTACTATTTAAATCTTATCATTATTTAGATAATTGTGCAGCCACAGTTTTATTCTTAATGAATGTGGTAATAATATATAAATAAGTTCATATAAAAGAATGATCGCAATATTGCTGCAAAAACCAGCATATTATGAATATTAATAATTTTTCTATACATATAATCGTATTCGTAAAAATAATGAAACTATGTATGTCCTATTGTGTTATTGAAAAAAAAAAAACATGTTATGAATAATGATAAATAATGTTCTTTAAACTGTACGGTGTGAATAATAAGCTGTTATAATGTTCATCGGACAGAAGTGAACATTACAGATTACTATAAGCTTCTGGTGGGTTTCTCAGTGTAATTGAGTTGGGTGAGACCTTAGTTGGGGTACCTAGATACCTAATTCAGATAATCTGATTAAAATGTATTTTTTTAGAAAAAACAATGTAAGAGGAGCCTTACATGATACAATTAAAAGATTTTTGAATAATAATAAAAAAAAAATATCATGCATAATTTGAAAAAAAATATTTTAAAAGTATTTATTCTATATGAATACCAAAAAGAGATAAATACTTTGAAAACTTTAACATGTTTAGTCAATTATATACACATATAAATGTTTAGTAAAAATACATATACAAGTCACTACAATTATTCATATTAGATTACAACAAAACAACATTATCGATTTTGTGAAGAACTACCTAGTTTCTCGTAAACAATCCCGTTCCCGATTATTTTGAAAAATTTTAGGTACCGTTGAAGTTAGAGATAAATAATTACATTGTATTCATAAAATAACATTGTAAATTAATTGTATTCAGGATCATAAATGTAGTCATCTACTTTTTGAAACAGTTTTTAGGGCCATATTTTTTATGAGCTGGAGCAAATTTTAAATCTTGGTTTGATGAATTTACTCAACCCAGGTATTTTAGATACACAGTTTGTTCTTTAGAAACAAATAAAACTGTAGAACTATGTATAAGTTTGCAAATAAATATACGTTAATATTGCATATTCAACGGAGTTAAAAAAAAAAAAATCATTATAGCTATGTATACAATTATATTGTTTTAAATTCTATTGGTTAATGAATAATATAAAGATATACCAGTATTCATAATTATATAAGATTATGGTATTACATAAATTACCAATATTATAATGATAGCATTTTTTCCATGGTAATTTATATATTTTCGCTGTGCTTTAATATTATTTACTATAATCAATGGATTGAATGTATAAAACAAACCTTGGCTGTATGATTAATTAAACTAAGCTTATAACTTATAACTAACTAATTATTTTGATTTATACAAAATACATTGGTATATTAAATAATATATGTATATATATTTAATAATTGTGTAACTAAATAATGATTTAATATAGGTAATATTATTGTTATTATTATTAAGTTATACCATTAATTATCATAACTAGAATTTTATTATACGAATTTACATGGTAATAATAGTAGTGTAGATAAACTGATCATAAGGATTTTAAGTAAAGAAGCCTCAGATCAAACTGAATTCATGTACAAAATGTTATTCTGATAATGGATTCAAATTTGAAAGGTTAGGCATATTTTTTATAAGTACATGTAACAAACGTATTTTACACACTCCTTATAAAATAAACAAACGATTTTCTAAACCCAAGAGAAGATATACGGAAATGAATAATACTATTTAAATTTGGACATGAATCCATAAACAAATAAGTTGTAAAATGTATGTGTTTAACACTCAAATGTACATTGGAACGAAATTGCTAAAATTACAATATATACTTAGTGAATATAAAAAAACTCGAGTATAATATATAAATTTTAAAATTTGATACATCATAGAATTAAAGAATTAATAATTTTTAGTAAAAAATGAAAAAAATTGCAAGTGCTTTATTTTTATTATTTGGCAACATTTTAATAATATGAAAAATAAAATTAATGTAATCCACGGAACATTTGAAAATAATATTTATTTTCTTATATTAACTAAATGATATTAAAACAAAAAAAAAATGACTTAATATTTTTTTGCTAAAATAATATTATATTATGTTTGGAATTATATTGAGATAGTTGTAGTATAATAATGTTCATTAATGGTAAAATTAATTTATCTTTTATAACAGTTATTGTTTATTAAATAGTATTTAATTTTGGCTAAGTATTTTGTTGTTCTTAACAAAATAAATACAAAATCAATTCAAGGTTATTAGTAGTGTTTATAATGATCTTAAAATATACAACATTTATTATTATGAGTAAAAGAAAATTCGAAAAATACCATTGTTATATTTTATTATTTTAGTGTTATAATAAAAATGTGTTTTATATTGATTTCAAATCATTTTTTTTTTTTTTTTACTATTTAAACTTATCTGTAAGTTTTTTTAACACTATTAACTGAATATGACATTTTAATTAATTGTATTACCTTTAAACCATAGTATTATTGAATGACCTTTAGGTATAATAATAGCATAGGCGCTAATCGATTCAATTTTAGAGCGGGGGGAATATGTCAAAAAATTCTCAAAATATAAACTAAATAAACTTTAATTTATTATTAATCTTGCGTATACCCACCAAGTTGTCAATACGACTAAATATTTCATATACCTATAGTGACGTCTTACAATTATATCAGTATATCCTGTATATTAGGGATGGCCAAACTTTTTTTGGCCGCGATCTACTAAAAATATACTTCACCTTTGAGGATCAACTTCGATAAAAAAGTTTTTTTATTATTAAGTTACTATACCACCATAATTAATTTTTGTATGCAAAGCCTAAAAATAAATCCTAACACGACCGACTTTAAAATCGATTGTGGTCGACTGTTTGGCTGCCCCTGCTGTATATTATGTATTTATATGCATGTCGCATCGATCGCATCGAGTTTGTTCTTGTTCTATTCGATTGTAGAGAATCGAGATAATATTATTACACTATATACGTAAGTAGGTACGTAAAACAACGCGTTTGTTAGCCGGATGTGCGTTGTCAATGAATTACTTTCTAGAAATCGATTTGCCGATAAAATGGTCAAAATCATTTCTATTTGAAATCGAATTAATCGTTGGTGGGGATTTTTAAAATTAATATCTATAGTGTGATATAGCGAGCGATGGTTAGACATTTTTGACCGTGTCCGTTGTGTGAAAACGTTCGAAATACATTGATTTAATAATATTATAATTTATCCATTGTAATGCTATATTTAGTAGTCTGACTCGTCCGTATTAAAACAGCACGTAATCAACTGGTTGACTTTAGTAGTTGAGTATTTCAAAGAATCACACTAGAAAAAAAAGCGTAACAACTGTTGCTGATGAAACACACCTGAACGTCAAAATCGGTGTACAGTAATCGATTTTTGTCCATTTAAATCGAGAACACATTCACGTTATAGTAGGTGTAGCCGTGTAGGACGTAGGTATACCCTCAAAAATTTAATAGTGTCTGGTCCAAAGCTACCCAAATATTGTATGAAAATTTTCTAGATCGATGAGATTGCCTACAATCTTCATAAAATAATACTCCTTCACTCTTGCAATTCAAAACCTCAAAACTTGTCCAACTATTTTATTATTGAATGAATAGTAATGTAGTGGAATTAGTGATTACACTTTTAAAATGCATACATTATAGGCTTGGCTATTTTATCTCAACTATAAAACTAAATATTTTACACGTTTTTATTGTTATTAAAAACTAGATAAATCAATAATATAGTGTAGTGATTTTCCATCATATTAAAAATAAAAAATAATTATAAGGAAATACGTTACTAATTGGCGGGAAAAAATCATCGACTGAGGTTTTTTCCACATTTAACTCTACAAAAAATATAACGATATAACCTAACACGTGTTTGTTAAGAATAGTAATAAAACAATAATTGATTTAATGTTGCTTCAGAAAAAAAAAAACAGTTTTAAATACTGTAGAGACTCTCGTGGTACGATATGGATACTATAGGTATATAATTATTATTAAGAGACGTTTGTCATTGCATCGAAATGTCAACAATTCGCAAGAATGCGACGGAAAATAATGGCAAACAAACAGGCACTGACAAAAATACTTTTAAACACAACAATAACATAAAACAAAAAAAAATACTACGTTTATTACCTATGCATTGTCATAATATCGTGTACTCACCGACGACGACGATAACGAGTGTGCTGTATCCTTATGCGTTCGTTATCTGCACGGAAAACAAGACCGGTGAGACGTAAAAATTATACCGGTAAATAAAATCGCACGCGACGGTGACTTTAACGTCAACGGAGAGACCGAGGAAAAAATAATATTATAATATGCTAATAATAGAAGGAGACGCGATCGACACGACACACAACACACGACTGTACGCGTTGACGTTGGTGCGCACACCGCGACGACGATGATTATTACCTAAGCGCGATGCGTAGTTCGGCGCGCGCGACTGGTTTCCCGTCCTGATCGTAAGGCCGTTATTATACTCAGATCACGTGTTTGCAGGCAAATTTTGATTTTTTTGATTTTTTAAATATGTACATGAACAATCAAAGACCATGATATAGTAATTGTTTTAACGATCAGATTTTTTTTTCCGACCACAGCGTTAAAAGACTGTTTCGCTACGATTAAAAATAAAAATAATTTAGCAGGTGCTTTTTTCCCCTAAAAATCTTTATATAGGTACAATCAAATTTAATTAATCAAAACGAGTAGTTTTGATAGTTATGCCATAAGCATATTGCTATGGTCTGATAGAAATTTGAATAGAATGTTATACAAACAGATACTTATAAAATTACATTTATTATTTTTGTTTTTTTTTTTTTGTATATATATACTTATGAAATACACATAAAAATAAACGTTAATCACTTGCATTGCGTATGTAATTTTTTTTTCAAAACTTAATATTATCACGTTCAAACATTCAATATACTATTCGACTATACAAACAATACGTATTATTTAGTCCTCGGAATAAGTCTACTTTATTTTTTGTTAGTTTATTATATTAATTTACTCAAAAATTACTCGCGTGTATTTTTGTTTAGAGTAAATCGACATTTTTAAAAATTTAACTGGCATAAGAATTTGCGTTGAAAAACGAGATGATCGTGTACACTAAAGTAATATGGGCTTGAAAAACCTACTTAAAAAATCTAAAAGTTAGATTTCGAATAAATTCACAAGGACGTGTTAATCGCTGAATCTGCGCCTTGTATACTGCAGTTGCCGATTTCCGTATAATAACATTGTTATTATTTTTGCAATCGTTGTGTCTCGTCTGTTATTATATCTAGGCCAACAGATGAAAGTGCGTTCGTTTTGTACGACCGTCGCTGTCGTTATTTTCTTGTTACAACGGGTTTGGCGGCTCTCTCGCGGTTCTGGCTCAGACCGCGCGACCTCCTCACCCGTCGGCAGATAATAATATTGAACACGATGCAGCTCACAGCAGCCGAAACCGCGAAACGACGACGAGAAGATCATTTACGTATTATTGCGATTTATTTTGAAGTTTTTCTTTCAGCTTTTGACCTTTCCAAAATCACGATTACATTACACCTGTCTGTAAGCATCATTGATTGATCGTTATAGGTTTCTATATTTACCCTGTTCACGTTTTAGCATCGATATAAGTTCTAGATTGACGGACCGAACGAGTTTTCAAAAAAAACTAGTGCTCATATATCTTGTCAAAATTAAATCTAATTTTCACCACACTCAATAAAATTGTGACTAAGAAACTAGGTACTGCATAATATAATATAACTCTTATAATAATATTATATAAATAATAATAAAATTGCGATGTATTGTTAATCCGATTTTATTTTTCAACACTATTTTTGGGAGATTGTGCCAAGTCCGTTTGAAATTTCTCTTTACTCGATCTATGAATTTATTTCATTGATATGTATGCAACGTTATTTCTACTACCATTTGATTATTAATTTACGAGTACAAAGAACAAAGAATTGTGTGGTAAATCAATCGCATATTCTATAAACTGAAATATTAACTATACTTCTATACTCGGTAATCGGCATATTATATTAATAATTGATAAAACTACAAGATAGGTCGATTATCCCACTAAAAGGGTTATTTTTTTAATTTACTTAAAATAGTCTATTATTACTTAGTTATAAAATTGCTCACATAAATGTGTTGATGGTTATAAATCCTTTCCTCAAAATTATTACACTAGACACGCAACTGTAATAATTAGAATACTAGTTCAACCATGCTCAGGCTAAATGATTTACATATTTTAAGAAGTATTATTTTCACCAAACAATATTTGTTCATTTAACGGTAAAACGGTAAATGGTATGTCTAATTATGGAAATGGAAAATTGTGTTATATAATTTTTTGATGATTTATGGATTTTATTGTTATTAACTAGAATGTAAAAATAAAGTAAAATTAACTGTTTTAAATCTAGCTTAATATATTAAATTAAAAAATACGTTTAGACCAATTAGTATTGTTAATATTCCATAAAAAAATGCAACATTTTGTCATCATAAATATTATATATATTATATACATTATATTTTCTTCAAAGTTCTAAATTCAAACATTATTCACTTAAATTTAGTGTTTCAGTAATCACTGAAACTTATTTAAAAAAATAAAAATAGGGTAAATATATCAGAATTACCTAATCAAGAAAATACTGATAGAAGCGACAAATAAATAGTTCAAACTTGGGAATTAATTATATTAATAAATATATTAATGTAATAAAACTTATAATTTAAAATATTTTTTCCATTACTTAAAAGCTTAAAAAAGTTAATAATAGGTACACAGATAATTTTTAAAAATCTCAGAGAAATATAATATATAAACAAATTATTAAGATTTTAGTTTTTACTTATTTTATTGTCAAAAGTTCGTTAACTAGAAAGTTTCTTAATTTTGTAAAAAAATTTATTTCTGCCTTATCACATTAACTTATTATATTTATTATAACAGATTGTTTAATAAAAATAAATTTAAAAATTAAAAAAAAAAAAATAAATATTTCATTTTGATTCGAAAAAAATATTTATAAGGATTTGAAACACTTTTTACCGCTTAGTTAAATTATTATTATTAATTACTCATAATATTAAGAACAACTATTAATTAAATACAATTAGAAAAAAAAAAAACAATATTGATAGTTATTTATATATTGAATATATTCACATCTTTATTTTATAATATGACAGTATTGACTTAAATGCTTAAATAGGTTATATTTTATAAAATCTTATAATATTGAATAATATTATAATGATTAATGAGTAACATATAATGTTAATTTTGAAAATGGTGATTTTTTATATGCAATAATATCATATTCAATTTAAATGTAATACATTTAATTTAGTAACTTATTCATTGAAAAACTAAACTTGACAAATTATTAATTATTACTATAGACCAGAGGAAGTTTTCATATTTTTATTTTTATCGTTTTTCATAAAATTCAGTGCAAATTTTGATTTTGTTGGTACAATTTTTTAAACTGAATTTTCCTTTAACTGATCTTAATATTACACACTAAAAATCTCAATACACCACCAATATAATATTATATTATAATTTATATTAAGTGATCTTAGAATTTTAAGTTATCACGCATAGATTTGGTGAACATTTTAAATCAGACGATAACTGTGGAACTGCAATTAAAATTATTATTAGTTAATTAAATCACATATAATATTAACGGGGCTTTTTTGGGTTGAATGTCTATTACTCGTAAACGGTTTATTACAACGATTATAGTTTAAAAGTAGAAACAAGTTTGACGATTAGTTTGTAGGCCACAATATAATATCATTTACTGCAATAGTGCAGCAGCTGTAGCAATATTAAAAACGATAATGATATTTTATAAATATTTATACTGGTTTTGGATTTTTGAATAATATTATCATCACTTATCACATCTAGTCCGTTGATAAACATAATTTAGTAATTCAAATATAAATTTTGTCAAATTATTATAAACATAATAATTTAATATTGCGTCAAAATTGTTTCTTATAATTTACCAAACCTAAATCTTATCAAATTTACTAGCCTATACAGCCTACAGTTTATATATCTAATGCATTTCTCACTCCATTCAGATATTGTACTAATTAAACTGTGTCAAAAAAACATTTTAATAACAAACCTAAATAAGTTATCATCGGATTACAACTCGATTCTTTTTCAGATCTCAGACTCTCTTGTTAATATACTAACACTTCACATACCAATACATATTACCTTGAAAAAAAAATTAGCTATCAACCTAGATCAGCTAATATAAGCTGAAGTTTATAAATCAACTCACTCAACAGTATAAATTAATTGATTAGTCAATTGACGGAAACAAATAAATACCTATGTTATAGTGATAAGGTCTTTTAAAAAAGAATAATAAAATATTATATTGTAATATTCTTATCGAGATTACCGACGAAACTAAGTTAAAAAATAACTTCACCGTGAACGGATTACACTAAAGATCCTACTGTATAACGACAAATAATATCATGTAAAATATTAAAAAAAATTTTGTATTCAAAATTATAAAATATCGGTATTTGATCTGAATTTTTTTGTAATTAATTACACATTTGTCAAAATATAGATTAGAAATTAAAAAATACCTTTAATATTTAATCAAACACTGCTTGAAAGATTAAATGTTTTGAATATTCAAATCTTATGTATTAAAATAAATAAAATATACATAAACAACTATAATTGTTTCCTTTGAACTTCGGTGTCAATACTTAGTATGAAATCAACATATTTTTTAAAATCTAACTTAAAAAGTTGGCCATTGAATAATTTTATTGATAATCAAATCCATTATTTATGTGTTAATTGCAATCGCCATTATTTAAAAACCACATTAAACATTGGCTCATGTGTGAATGTGACACTTTAAGATTCAGGTAAGTCCACAAGAGTTGACCTAATAAGAACCGGTTACCTATTTCAAAAAAGATTTTTATTAAAAATTAAAATGAATTATTCAAAAATCAAGGAAAATTTAATTTTATATTAAAAGTGTGATGTGTCAATACGTCATGATGTTATTACATTATATAGTAATTAAAATAATGTTTCCCATTAAATCAATAAAATTTTGAAATTTAATGATTATAATATTTATTGTTTAAGTATTTTATATTTTACAAGTTTCAAAATTATTCAGAAGTTTTTAGTATACCAACAAAGTGAATACTTGATTATATTTATAAATATTAAGAGATCGCTACTACTATAAATTCCCCATGGTCGCATATGTTTTTAAAGGGGTTTGATATAGGCAATTTTAATTACATATTAAAAAATAATATGAAAAATTAATAATATTAATACTATACCTTGCTTATTCGAAGTAATATATAAATGGTCATGTGTTCATGTATAATATATCAGTGCTATTGCTGTCTAACATTTTCATGGCTTACTTAATAATATTGCATATAAAGTCGGTTAAAATATATTTTCACCATACAACCAGTTTATTAAATATAATAAATTATATAATCAATCTTTTCTCATACCATACTATTATAAAGGATAATTTTGTTTATATTAGAATTCAAATTGTACAATGTTTCAAGATGTTAAGCTTAATTATTAAAAATCTAAACATTTGCGATTGAAGAATAAAAGACAATCACATATTTTTGTTTTTTAAATATCTACATAATATAAATTTAACCCTGGTTATAATATATTATGCAAACCAGAGTTCCGTAGGAGATGTTCACTTGATTTCGTAGTATTAATTCAAAATAATTGATTCAAATAATATTGCTTAAGTGTATTTTTTTAAACTATAAAATAATTTGCGCGCTATATAATATTACCACTTTTAGTATACGTATCAAAAACTCACATTCCTCGTGCACTTCCTATAACATTTTGAATATTTTTATTTTTATGTGAATTGTTATTTTCAGAGTTTATATAAGATTTTCTGAATTAAGCCTGAAGAAACTTTAACTTGTTGGTTCTCTAATTCCGATAAGCTAACAGCCTATATGTACTTAAAAAGTACTAAGTTTATTAGATTTTCATTTAATATACTAAATGAGTATCAAACTTAGAGTGATCAACTTAAACGGTCAATGAACCAATAAAGGATATAGATAAGTAGTTAATTGTGTCATTTTATATGAAAATAATCATAATTCTAAAAACGCTTATTTATCAATTTTGGAACGTTTTCTTGATAGATGTTTTGTAAATAAATATGTAATCTGAAGCTTAATATCTCAGCTCAATTGTCGACTATCCCAAATAATATACTTGTGAATTCACCACAACAAGTCGCTACAAGAGTGTTTAAAACTGAGATTATCGATGATAAACTCACAGTATTTCACGACGAAGTCGTAAAGCGAAAATAAACGAATAATTTCAGCTCACGCACACTAATAACAAAAAAAAAAAAACCACTGTTGATATTGCACGTATTATTTTAAGAGATATTATTTTGAAGACCAGGAGCTTATAACGTAACATTATTTATCTGCTCAAGTTTGAAACTATGTAAATTCTGATGGAAAATCCAGTATGGTTCGGATCAATAAACAATTTAAAACAATATGCATCACGATGGAAAAGACGTTCTATCAAGTTGCTTCGAAACCTTCTGTTTTAGCTTTCTTAGTGTTCTGTATTGATAACTACCTAACCTAACCAATTTTACATAATATTTTCGTGACCACGCAAATGTGCAGTGATATAATTATATTTGAAGAATTAATTCAAATTTGTTTGCGGTAGAGATGCAGTCGTTTCTGCCATATATATTTTTACCTACCTATCTAAAATATAATTTGAGAATTATTTTGAGTTACCCAAGCGCCAACCCGAGGAGGCAGTATTTTCGTCTATTGCTTTTAATGTATAAATGAATCGTATATACCTATATTACATCTAATAAGTTTTTAATAATACCTAAGTTGCAACTGTTAATTTCAATGTACTTATTGTTTTAAAAAATTGAAGTTAAAATGATTAAGAATGTATTAAATTGTGAATGCGATTTGTTCAAATTTATTATTTGTCTGTTTAAAATGTGCTTGAAAAAATTCACAATCATTTGTTGGTCTGAATAAACTTGCACTGAAATCAAACCATACTATTGAGAGAAACATACTATTCACGGAAATATAATTATAAGTTAATGTATAAAGCATATTAAAATAAAATTATAATATTTATAATATGTTGACTATTCTTATATTATCGACATAATATTAAAAAAAAAAAAAAGTTGAAACACTTTGAGGATCTAAAAATGTTAATTTAAATAATATAGTTCTTAACCGCTTGTTTTTTCATATTCTGTACTAAGTCCTATCTCTCCAGTTGTACTCTGATATACATTGATTATTGATAGTACTAATTGATAAAGATACATTTTAGTTCTGAAAATGTATCTTAAAAATAAGGTGAAATTAAATTCAACAAGTGTGATCTTACTTTTTGCGATTTTTTATTTTGGAGATTTGTCAAATCCCAGGTTTACGCAACAAAACCGATAACCATAGATAATTTTAAATGAGAAATTCGATGTGTGATTGCAAAGCACACCTTAAAGAACTGTGAAGTGGTTGCTAATTTTCACGATCACATTACAGCTTGTCAACAAGCTAAAAAAAAAATCACTTAAATAATATTATTTTTCATACATATACAGAATATTATACTAAACTGTTCCTTTTTCTGTTTTGTATGTTTGAAAAAAACAAGTGGTTTTTTAGAAAATTCAAAAAGCGTTATTTTTGGGACACCCTGCACTTGAAAAAAATAATTTTAGTAATATAATTGTTGATTTATTTTTATTTTCTATACTGTGAGCGCGACATTATTAAATTATACAAGTTACCTTATTCTAAAGTTTTGAAAAAGTAGGAGCTGTAAAAGGTAGACAATGTGTACACAACTTTGAGGCAACTTTTGTAATCTAATAACCTTACTGTGGGCGTGGATCTTTTGAGGGACTCAACCACTGACGCCTTTGATAGCCACAATGCACAGCTATACAACTCCTGAAATATACAGATTTATATGATAGGTACAAAGGAATTTTGAATTTTGAAACTTAACAAAACAATACGAAATTCGCTATTATTTAAAACAAATAACCATTTTAAGATGAAATAATTTTTATTTGTTCTTCAAATCGTTTGAACTTAAGTAATTGCAGTTTACGGAGTTTAAAGTTTTACATTTTTTAAAATGTATACAACAATAAATAAAAAATTATAGATAAAACTGATTGAGCATAAGTCATTGGTTTAATATCATGAAATAAAGACAAAATAATATTGAAATATTTAACTGTATTGAAAATGCGTTGTTTCGGAACATATTTTTTAAATACAATTTATTAAAACAATAAAACAATTTCTAATGTAAAGACTCTTCCTCCCCCCCCCCCCCCCCCCCCCCCGAAAAAAAAAGAAGCGATATAAATTATAATAATCAAGATAGCAAAATAAACTATGGTAAATTGTATTTTACGTAGTATGAATGTAAAATTTTAGTTTTATATGAAACGAATAATAGCTTAAATATTTAATTATTCTTATTATTTATTTATTTCCTATTTCAAAACAATACGGTTGAAATAGTAATAGCGCACAGTCAATTTCCAAAGTAGAGCATGATGAAGGTATATTGCTCTTAGTAAGAATTATAAAGTTATTATAAATTTTCATTTGGCAGTATAATCTATAAAAATTATTTTACTGGTTAGATTTTAACAAGAACAACAATATGTTTATAATATGTTTATACCGTTTATGAAACGTTTAATACAAATATAATACATACCTAATATTATTGTTTTATAATTTTGTTATGGTAGTTACAGTCACACGGTTTTAGATTTCAGATGACTTGTAGGTCAGAGCATTTTGATTAAGGATTAATGACATGACTAAATATTTGATAAAGTCAATATAACAATTACAAATATATACATAATATAAAATGGTATGAGCGTTTACCAATATTATTAAGAAATATAAATTTCTAGTTATAGATAGATTTCCTACCATAACATGGTAATATTATAAAAGTATAGTATTATTATATTTATTTGTTTCATGAAACATAACAGTTGAGTGTAATACCCGTATGATTATTTATTATTATTATTATCAAGCTATAAACTCATTTGTTGCTCTACTCGAGAAAAGCAGTAGTGTCTATTGAAACGATTTAAAACGAAAATTACCCAACGATATTTTTGTATTTTTTATTTTTTTTATTAAAATTTAAAATGTTTCAGCATACAGAGTGCTATTGCAAGTAATTATTTGTTTACAATGAATTACATATATAATACTAGAGACATGAATTTAATATTGATACAAATAGTTATAGTATAAGTGTAAATGTATTCTTTTATTGGTTTTCTGATGATGAATCTTTTATATCTGTTCAGAGAATGTCCTGAGGGAGTCGAGGCCACAGACGTTTGTTAAGTATTTTTTATTCTAGGTTGTAGTGACGGAATCCGTCCGGATTTTTTTGATTGGCATGAAAGTTTTTAAATTTCTTCTTTAACCATATATTGATGAAGGGTATACCCGAATCATTTTGGGCTTGAATGTTTCTCATAAAACAAGGGGCTTTGAAACATATCCTCAGACATTTATTTTAATTTTAATATTTTTCTTAAGTAAATAGATAGTAAAGTTTTCACAATAAAGCTATTTATATTATTCTGTTAAGTTTTTGTTTCTCGGTGAATTTGAATATTGTTAAAATATTTACCCCCATAATAAATACAATTCAAATGTCCAACATATATTTTACAACACTAAATTAAAATTACCATAAATCGTTGAATTTAAAATATATTGTCTATATACCTTTTTGAATTTATATGTTACAGGCAATATGAACCATGAATACATGCAGATAATTGTTTGGTAAATATTTATTATTAAATTTATT